GCCAAATTCTTGTTCAAACTTTCCATCAAACACCTTATGATCATGAATTCAATTGAGCACGAAAATTCCATCAAATTATGAGAAAATAGCACCAATGGAATCACAAAATAATGCTCAATGAATCAAACCCAAAGATCAATAAGATATCATATTGTGAAAGATGAATAATCTAACTTACCAAAGGTAGATCTAGAGAATTATCAAAACAACTTCAAGAATTTGCTTCACTTCATCCCTAAGAACTAATTTCCCAAGCTTGGATGTAGAGAATTGATAAAGAGAAAGTGTTTGGATGAAAGTTTAGCTCAAAGATTAGTAAGCTTCAAAGCAAAGCTTGCTAACTTTTTTTGAAAATGGAGCTTTGAGTGAATTTGGTAGATGGAGAGAATTTAGATATTTTTAGCAAGGTGAATTTGGCTATAAAAAGCTTGAGATTTGAATGAAATGAATGCTTTATTTATAGAGTTTAGGCTTGGGATTAGTGGTGGTTTGATAATTAATTCTTGGAGCCAAAATTTGAATTAATGATATATCTTTCAAAAAAATGAAAAAAATGGAGCCAAAATTTGAATTAATGATATATCTTTCAAAAATGAAGAAAATTGGAGCAAAAATTTGAATTAATGATATATCTTTCAAAAAATGAAAAATTGGTGCCAAAATTTGAATTAATGGTATATATTTGAAAAATGAAGAAAAATTGGAGGTAAAATTTGACAAGTTTGAAATTGCTGATTTTTTTTCAAAATTTCACTATGTGCAATCGATTACACTCTCGGCTCAATCAATTGTATCAGTGTATTTTTTTCAAAAATGGCACAAAATGCACTATGTGCAATCGATTGCACTCTAAGAGCAATCGATTGTACAGTGAAAAAAATGAAAAATTTTAAATTATTTTTCTTTGCAAATATAGATTTTAGGAAAATAATACCGAAAAATCCTATTTGTCAGATGCTTTGACTCGGTACCTACAAAACATAAATACACAAAGACAAATATTTTTTGTATTTTGATTAGAAGTTAGTCAACAACACAAGAGAAAACTTAAAGATAGGATGCAAATGTGAAGAATGAAGCTATTTATTAATGATTGTGACCAAATGACAAAATATGATATGAAAGTGCGACTGAAAAAGTTAGGAGCAAAATTTAGGGTACAACAAGATGGTCCAACATTTTGTCAAGAAGATGCAATCTGAGTTTGAGATGAGTTTGGTAGGTGAGCTAACATACTTTCCTGGTCTGCAAGTCAAGCAGATGGAAGACTCCATTTTTCCTTGTCAAATCAAATACATAAAGAATATTGTGAAGAAATTTGGAATGGAGAATTCCAACCATAGAGAACTCCTGCTCTTACACACTTGAAGTTATCCAAAGATGAAAAGGGAGTGAGTGTTGATCAAAGTTTATATAGAAACATGGTTGGTATCCTTCTATATCTTACTGCAAGCAGGCTAGATATAACTTTTGGTGTTGGAGTTTGTGCTAGATATTAAGCGGCACCCAAACTGACTCACATCAATCAAGTCAAAAGAATTCTGAAGTATGTGAGTGGTACTTGTGAGTATGAAACGTTATATTCTCATGATTCAAATTTAGTTCTTATGGGATATTATGATGTCGATTAGGCAAGGAGTGCCGAGGATAGGAAGAGTGCCTCTGGTGGATGTGTCTTCTTGGGAAACAATTTGATTTCATGGTTCAGCAAGAAACAAAATTGTGTATCTCTACCTACAGGTGAAGCTGAGTACATTGTTATAGGAAGTATTTGATCTAAACTAGTATGAATGAAATATATGTTATCTGAATGCAATGTCACACAAAATGTCATAACATTATTCTGTGACAACTTGAGTGCAATCGATATTTCCAAAAATCATATTCAGCATAGTAGGACTAAGCACATTAATACCAGGAATCATTTCATTAGAGATCTTGTTGAAGACAAAGTCATAACTCTTGAGCATGTTAGCACTGAAAATCAGCTTGCTGATATTTTTACTAAAGATCTAGGTATAATTTAGTTTGAAAACTTGAGAAGAAGACTAGGGATCTATATCTATGAGGACTCATAGAAATTAATTTTATTGTCGCGGGCCAATAAAACTCTTCAATCATAGCACCCACATCCTTGTATTTTATTGGTTATGAATAGTGTTAAGAAAAAGGAATCTCCTTTATCTTTGCATTATAGTTTGTTTGGTGAAACACATATTTCAGACATTGTTGTGACATCTTCCCAAGCGAAGACCCTGGTGATAGAAGTAATGATGTTGTTGTTGTTGGTGAAATAGTTACATCTGTTGGTGCTGATGTTGATGGAGAAGGAGAAGAATATGATGTTGAGGCTGATGCATGATTGTTGCCTCTGTAAACCTTTTTGGTTTTGTTTTGTGTACTTGTTTTTATTACTTTATGATTTTGTAAGGGTTAAATGTCCAGGATATGTTTGGAATTTATGCTAATGTGTTACTATGGTTGTTGTTGGTCTGTTACTCACCTTTGTCATATTATAGCTGAAAAGGGAGAGTAAAGATGTGTGTGATCTAACCATTATCTAATTGTTGCTATTTAGGGGGAGAATTTGTTACACTCTGAAGTGGTACTTAGCAGGTTTTGAGGGGAAGTCCATGTTCTTGACTAGACTGTTGTGAAGAGTTATCAAACATGATGTCCTGACATGTTGTGAGTTTATTCTCTTGTTTTTGTGATGAGTATATTTCACTATACTATGATAATATTTCTGTTGTGCCTCTGATATTTATAAACCTGAGTTGTTTTGATGTTTATGTGTGCAAGGAGTATTAAGTTGTTTTAGCCAAAATAAGTCAAATGGGGAGATTGTTAATTCTCTATTTTTGTAATTGGCATTATGTTTGGTAAAACTAACTTAGCAGAAACATGTTGAAATAAGATGTTCTATCAACTGGAGAAACATGTTGAACAAGATGTCCTATACAGAATCATTCGACATCACGCTTGTGTACAACTGGACAATTGGATGCTTTTAATTTATTACAGATGTAAAATATGCTGGGAACATTATGTTATCTTCTATGGCGCTCAGTTTAAGGATTAAGAGATTCAAGTTAAATTCAAGGAATATTCTTAGTTTCTAATTATGGAGATAATTTAGGAAACTAATAATTAAAGTCTTATTTTTATGCAGAAGTTCCTGCAGATTTTTAGCAGCTGATTTGCTATATTTTTGAAGTCCAATTCAGTCTAGAAGATAGTTTTAAATATACTGTCACTAACCTATTTTTAGTGTGAAACTTACGTGTGTTTTTGTTAGGGTTTGTGTTTGATTGTGAGCCTCTCTAATATCATCGTGATAAAAAAGTAGGACTGTTCTTTTGAGTTGTAAGTTCTGTCAATCATTCCTAAGCTTTTAAGCAGTGGATGATTGTGTATCTTTGAAATGTGTCTTAAAAAATTATTCTAAGTTGTTTAGAGTTGTTCAATCACTGTTGTGTTTGAAAGGGATTTGAGAATGGTCTCATACCTAGATGAGTCTTAGGTAAAAGTTAAGAACGGGTAGTGATTAAATTAGTAGATTGTAAACTAGGTGAAAATTTGCCGTGGGTCTACAAATTGATAATATCTAATTGACTTCGTCTCTGCCTTGGTAGCCTCTAGAGTAGTTGTTGTTGTTCCTCGAACTGGGTTAATAATTCTGTGTGTTTCTTTACTTTTATGCACTGTTATATTGTTTGAAATTGTTCATTGTGTAGTTGTTTAGAGATCAGTGTTTCAACATCTCTTAAGACATCTGAGATTAGAATACCAGAATTTCAATTCCTCACGATTTAAAAGTTTCTAATAAATCATTAGTTTGTAAATTAAATAGATCAATCTATGGCCTAAAGCAAGCTAGTAGATTGTGGAATAAAAAAATGACTTCTACTCTTACTAACTTAGGCGACATCAGTCTAAATCTGATTACTCATTATTCACTAAAAACAAACAATACTTTTTTCACTATTATATTAGTCTATGTTGATGATTTGATGATTGCATAAAATAATATGAATGATTTCCCAAATTTAAAACTCGTCTTGGATACAAAATTCAGCTTCAAAGACCTAGGAAACATAGAGTCAAGGTTTTAAATTGCGGTTCGCAACTGCTATTGCATCCGTAATATTGCAGATGCAGTTGTCTCTGCAACTATATCAGACAATTTTATTTATGTTTCTTAAGTATTTTCGTCAAAAGTCAAAATATTAGAATCCTAAAACTTAATTTAATTCTCATATAATAAAAAAATTTAATATTAAATGCAGTTGTCTCCGCAACTATATCTGACAATTTATTTCTTAAATATTTTCATCAAAAGTCAAAATATTAGAATCCTAAAACTTAATTTAATTCTCATATAATAAAAAAATTTAATATTAAGTGTTTTTCAACATTATATTTCAAACACTTACTTATAAAAGTTTACACGGCAACGGTTGTGATGTAATGTGCATCGCAAAGAGAAAACAACATCTTTGTGATAAGAAGAAAAAAACTCTTGTGTTTTTGCAAGGAGAAAACAACATCATGTGTTTCATGCTCCCTACTTGCTCTTGCATTTAATGAAATCATAGTTTTCAACCTTTGGTGAGCTTAATTTATTACTCCATAATGAAATATCATTAGTACATCAAACTTTGTAGAATGCCAAACGAGACACGACACCAAGATCTGATGTAACAACCGAGTTTGAATATGACAAATAAAAAAAAGATAAAACAAAAGCTTGAAGATGTTGAATTACAAGACAGTCCCTGTATACTAGTACTAGCTAGCTAGCTTATACTCATGATGACTAACTTGTTACACTGTGGTTAAAGAAAAAACAAAAGAAAAATGATGATGAGATGCTTGTAAATTAAATGAGTTTTTCACGTACTCTGTTACTTGTACAGCTAGGTACGTAGATACAACGTTACGTTACATTAAGCAGTAACAAACAAAGAGAGTGATGTTTGGTAAGGAGATATGCATTTTTAGCAGAATGTTTGCTGGATTTGTTGAGCCAATTCTTCTGCACTCAGTTGGCATTCAATTCCAATCTATACACCAAAATACTTGTTAGTATAGTCAATCATAAGCTTCTTTAATCAGAGATAAATAATCAATAATATAGACATGTCTTTTCACCAAATGAAGACAAACTTCTCTGAATGCATGCATCTTCGTATACCAGATAGGTGCAGTTAGTACTTTCACACTGCATCAAATTTTTAACCATTGTCTTTTTACATGGACTATTTAATACTCGTAGTAAAGATGCATGGTGTACTTTATTTTACTAATTTGTAGAAGTAGAAGAAGTAATAATATTAATAACCATCATAAACTTTCACATAAATGTGAAGTTTTAAGTTTTAATTTTAGTGCCCATGTTTAACTTAGTAATATTGATTTGTGAATAAGAATGGAAAATAGAATACATCAACTAAGAACTAACAAACAACTACAATCCATCCTATATAAATTTATGTTAGATTAGATTTTTTTTTTTAAATTGAAAAGACTTAGGATTAGATTTTTTAAAAGTTTATTTAATAAAAAGATTAGACATATATGTTTAAAAATGATGTATTAAATTTATTATAAATTAGCGTCTATGTAATTATCTATCCGTTTTCTCTAATATTGACGCACATAAAATATGAACTGTATTATATTTTTATTTGATTTTAATTTTATTTTAAATTATTTATAAAATATTTAAAGATAATAAATTAAGATTTAAATTGTCTTGTAACCGCCGTTTTTGAGAAAGAAAAATTAAGATTTAAAATAAAATTGAAGAGGATATATTATTTAGAAGAGAAAAAGCCAACACCAAAATTATGTTTTGCTTATATATTATACTAATATAGATATAAGTATAGATATATTATTACTTTTTATTTTTTATTTTTCTTTAGACAAATTTTTTATTTCTAGGTTTCTTAACATGTGTTCTAAACACACATAGTAACATTATCTTTTAAATAAATAGAAATAAATTTATTGTTATTATACTATATTTTGTATTTTAAATTAAAATACAAAAATTTAATTTAATTTATTTTTTAAATTTGTGAAAAAAAGCTAAAAAAATCTAATGAACAGTGTTTTAAAAAAACTAATAGTTTCACAAAATTTATGATATTAAATTTAGTCTTATTATTCCTTTAATTTTTAGTCTACTTAAACATTAATTAATTTAATTATTTATATTTATTTAAATGAAATTTAATTTTTAGTAGATGGATAAACTAACCAAACATTCAAAAATATCCGACAAAAACTCAAAAATAAATCTGATATAAATTACAAAAATTTAGATTTTATATTTTTTTAGTAGACCATACTTGAGAAAGATGTATCTTATTTATGAGATTTTCCCACCAGTTAACTATATGTGCTGTCACACTTTTAATTATTAAATGACCTTTTAAATATATTTCGTCAATTATTTGTAGATTCCTTTCGTTACATATATTTGTTTTTATGTGTGTCAGACATTAAATACTAAAAAAGACTTATATTTTTCATGTGATAAAAAAGTTTTAAAAATAATCTATCTTTATTAAGTAAAAATACAATATCAAAGTGCAAAATGAAAAGGAAAAAATTGAGAAAACTATACATGCATTTGAATATTGAAGAATAAACGTACCTTAATAGTGAATGAGTTCAACATAGTATCATCAGAAGTACTATTAATGTTAACATGAAGGATTTCAAGTGCAAGATTTTCCAGTGCAGATATAATCTTCAAAGCTTGTCCTGGAATTCTTTGAGAAACAGTTTTCAAAAGAACATGAGGACCTGAAAACTTGACCTCTACATCAGCAATATGAGACTTAGAATTAGCAACAAGTTCATTGATATTATCATTCACAGATGAAGCAGATGAAGTAGTAGGAGAAGGGTCAAGTGGTGAAAGCATAATATTGTTGTAGCTTTGTTGCATTCTTGGCTTGTAAGGGCTAGTTGGTTGAGGAGTTCTTGGACTAATAGGTAGGTTTAGTCTTGGACTCAATGGTGGTTTTCTTGGACTTAAAGGCGAAGGTCGTGGACTCGATGAAAGTATTCTTGGACTTAGTACTTCGTTGTATGCTTTTCGTTGTTTCTTCGCTTCGAGCGCTTGGAGTAGTTGTTGCAACTCGTTGATGTAATCGACTACGCCTCCGATTATTGATGCTTGATCTCCCTAGTTAATGGAGTGCATAAGATAAGTAAGATAATAATGAATTGTACTTTATCTTTTGGGTTAATACTGTTTTTGTTCTTTTTGTTTTTTGAATTTGAATTTTAAATTTGTTTTAATCGACAAACATTCTCAATGTAGTAGAAAAAACATAGGAAAAAAAACGCTATTAAGACAAAAATAAAGGACCTTTCTAAGACAAAAACAAAAAAAGAAGGCCATTATGGCCAGGTCGTAAAAAAGACTCTGTGTAAGAAATTTGAAGTAAATTTCAGTTGAATTATGAAAACAAGTGCTTACCCTTTTGACATAAAAGCAAGGCATGAGTGATCTCAAAACGGACAAATGCTCATTCATTTGCTTTCTTCGGTTCCGTTCGACGGTAATGTGAGAGACCCTTTGTTGTCCATCACTGTTAATGATCTGTTCTTGTAGCAAAGACGGTGTGAGTTTCTGTCTCTTGTTTTTGTGGTCAGTTTCAACTTCAGTTTCAGAGTCTTGTCGTGAAGAGATTGATTTCTGAGACAGTAATCTCGAGGTGGAAGTGGAATCATTCTCTTTTGGAGTAATAACAGTTTCTGGTTGGTTGTTGTTTATGAGAGGAAAATCAGTGAAGTTTTCTAGACTCTCCAAAATAGCAAAAAGATCATCTTCTGTTCTGTCTTCAAATATATCGTATAAGCTCTCGTCCATTGGAAAAAACTGAGAAACTCTGAATGCAATATGCAGAAGCAGCAGAGCAGAGACAGAATGCAGAAAAGTAATAAGAGAGAGAGAGAGAGAAGAGATAGATAGAATGGAGAAAGAGAAGGGTTTTTGCAAGTTTTATATAGTGATAGTAGTGCTAAAGGAGTAATGTTTATAGAATAATAAAATATATATATATATATATATATATATATATATATATATATATATATATATATATATATATATATATATATATATATATATATATATATATATATATATATACTAGATATATATAAACTTAATTTGAGGTAGTTAGTTATTTTGTTTTATTACAAGGACTGCAAGTGGAGGGTACTATGCATGAGTTAAAAATGGTGTTTGTGATTAGGAAGAGAGAGGGGAGAGAGAAGAAAATAGTGAGCATTGAAATTGTGATTCATAAATACCTCTGATGTGTTGATTAATATGTCACTGAAATGTTTGTGTTTTTGTTTCGAAGTGAGTGAACGGTAAAATATTTAAACTTGATTTGATGTACCTAGGATACTTCTAGCACTCAAATAATGCAGCAGCATTTTGTAACAGTACTATGTACATCATTTCCTATATCAGTCTTTAAAGAGTCCTTAAAGAAGATTGTTTATCGAAGAAATCACTACTAATTCTATTATAATATATCATACTGTTACAAAAGAATGATATGAAATGATAATGTTGGTTAAATTTAAATCAGTCTTGGGTAAATTAAAAGTCAAATTCTTTTGAGCAGTGAGAAATTTATTCTTTAGGGACTTAGACATAGTTATTGCTGTAAACTCTTCATATTCTATATTGTGATCGTGTATAAATCACATTGTATCTCATATTGAAAGTTAGTTGGACAAAATATATAAAGAAAAGAAAGTTCATAGTCCACTCTTATTCTCTTCAAATTGGTATCAAAGCGCGTGGCAAATATGATGGGTCAGATGCCACTTCCACGACTTTCAAAGTCGAACTATGAAAACTGGAGTATCCAGATGAAGGCGCTGTTGGGATCGTTAGATGTATGGGAAGTAACTAACGATGGGTTTGAAGAACCATCAGATACGACAGGAATCACAACTGCTCAGAACAAGGCGTTGAAAGAAACACGAGCAAATGATAAAATAGCATTGTACATGTTGTTCAGAGCAGTTGACGAATCAGTCTTCGAAAAGATTATTGGTTCGACTACATCAAAGGAGTCGTGGGACACGCTTGAAAAAGCTTTCAAAGGAGCAAATAGAGTCGAGCAAGTTCGCTTGCAGACTCGTCGAGGAGAAATGGAGAGAATGAAGATGAAGGAAACATGGCCTGTGTCAGACTACGTCACTCGTGTGCAGACGGTGGCAAATCAACTCAATACAAATGGAGAAGCAATGTCGGATGCTCGTATTGTCGAAAAGATTCTAAGATCTTTGACAAGTAGGTTTGAAAATATAGTATGCGCAATAGAAGCGAATGACCTTTTAACAATCACTGTCGAAGAAGTGGCTGGTTCGCTTGAGGCACATGAACAACGCAAAATAAAGAAGAAGGAGGAGGCACTTGAGGATGCATAACCCAACAGAGATGAAAAGACACTTTTCTCTCAAAATTGGCGTGGGAGAGGACATGATCGTGGAGGACGTAATGGTGGTCGAAGTTACCAAAATAACAACTTCGACAGAGGACAATCAAGCCAACAAAACTGGCGTGGCAGAGGACGTGGCCAGAGAGGTGGTAGATCAAATTACAACAATATCGAATGTTTCAAATGCAACAAACAGGGGCACTATACAAAAGATTGCAACTCCTACAGTTGCTACAACTGTGGTAAAATAGGACATCTTGCAAAAGACTGTCGATCCAGAAGAAAGGTAGAAGAAACAACAAATCCTGCCCTAGAAACATAATCGAATGAAGGATTTCGTTAATGACTCAAAAGGAAGCAGATGTAGAAAATGACACTATGTGGTACCTGGGCTCAGGATCAAACAACCATATGTGTGGTCATAAGCATTTGTTCAAAGACATAAAGAAAATCGAAGACGTCATGTTTCGTTTGGAGATGCATTGAAAGTAAGAGTCGAAGGAAAAGGAACAATCAGTTTCTTACAGAAAAATGATTTGATAGGATCAATCCAAGACGTGTATTATGTACCAAACCTCAAAGAAAATATTTTGAGTCTGGGTCAACTCACTGAAAAGGGTTATTTGATTCTCATGGAAGATCGAAGCCTGCATTTGAAAGACAAGTCAGGACATCTGGTTGCTCAAGTCGAAATAGGGAGGAATCGAATGTATAAGTTGAATTTGAGAAGCATTCGAGAAAAGTGTCTGCATGTCAATATCAAAGACCAAGTATCCCTGTGGCATCTTCGATTTGGTCATCTACACCAGGTTGGACTAAGGAGGTTAGCAAAGAAAAATATGGTGCATGGACTTCCAGATGTAGAATTCGAAGGAAAATTCTGTGAAGAATGTGTGTTTGGAAAACAGACGAAAACTTCATTCCCAGGGAAGGCAGAATATCAGGCCAAAAAAATTATTGATTTAATTCACACTGACATATGTGGACCAATTACCCCAGAATCCTTCAGTGAAAAAAGTATTTTATATCTTTCATTGATGATTTCTCAAGGAAAACTTGGGTGTATTTTCTGAAAGAAAAGTCTGAAGCCTTCGAAGTATTCAAGAAGTTTAAGATAATGGTTGAAAAAGCAACAGACAAACACATCAAAGTCCTTCGATCAGACAGAGGTGGGGAATATACTTCGACAGCCTTTATGAAGTACTGTGAAGAGCAAGGCATAAGAAGATTTATGACTGCAGTTTACTCACCCCAACAAAATGGTATAGCAGAAAGGAAGAATCGAACAATCCTTGACATGGTTCGATCAATGCTGAAGAGCAAAAACATGTCGAAGGTATTTTGGGCAGAAGCTGTAAAGTATGCAATCTACGTTCAAAATAGATGTCCACATTCGAAGTTGAGAGATTTAACACCTCAAGAAGCTTGGAGTGGTCGAAAGCCAATTGTGTTTCACTTCAAAGTGTTTGGAAGTGTGGCTTATGCACATGTGCCTGATCAAAGAAGAACAAAGCTGGAAGATAAGAGTCAGAAATACATACTCAATGGGTATGATGGAAAAAAAAGATTACAGACTCTTGGATCCAATAAACAAAAAAAGTGATAGTCAGTAGAGATGTTCAAGTAAACGAAGGAAGCAAGTGGGATCGAGACAATTTGAATGAGGTTGTGGTCGAAGTACCAGATGCTATATCGAAAGACACTTCGATAGATCCAGAAGACTCTGATGATGAAGAAGGACCCTCACAACTCAGGTTGCGAAGCTTACAAGACTTGTATGAAAATATAGAAGAAGTGCATCTTGTATGTTTATTGGCAGACACTGAAGATGTCAGCTTCGAAGAGGAAATAAGAAATAAAAATTGGAAGGATGCTATGAATGAAGAAATTAAGGCCATCGAACGCAATGATACTTGGGAACTAACAGAGTTACCAAATGGAAGTCAAATAATTGGTGTAAGGTGGGTGTTTAAGAAAAAGATGAATGCACAAGGTGAAATCGAAAGATACAAGGTGCGACTTGTGGCGAAAGGATACAGGCAGAAAGCAGGAGTCAATTATGATGAAGTCTTCGCACCTGTTACGAGAATGGAGACAATTTGACTGCTCATATCTCAAGTTTCTCAATACAAATGGAAAATACATCAGATGGATGTCAAGTCAGCTTTTCTGAATGGCGTTCTTGAAGAAGATATTTACATCGAACAACCCCCTAGATTCATGAAAATCGAAAATGAAGGAAAGGTGCTAAAGTTGAAGAAGGGACTTTATGGGATGAAGCAGGCACCACGAGCATGGAATACTCGAATTGACACATACTTCAAGGAAAATGGATTTCAGCAATGTCCATTCGAACATGCCTTGTATGTGAAAAAGAAAAAAGAGAAAATACTGCTTGTTGCTCTCTATGTTGATGATTTAATTTTCTTGGGCAACAACAATCAGATGATCTAAGAGTTCAAAGGCACAATGACAAAAGAATTTGAGATGACTGACCTAGGCCTGATGAAATACTCTCTTAGTCTGGAGGTTCAACAGGAAGAAACATGAATCTTCATCTCACAAGAAAAGTGAAAAAGATATCCTGAAAAGATTTAAGATGGATAGCTGCAATCCTATTTCGACACCAATAGAGCCAGGAGCAAAGCTTTTGAAATTTTATGGGGGAGAGTGTGTCGAAGCAAACAAATTTCAATGCTTGGTGGGAAGTCTTCGATACCTCACATGCACAAGGCCAAATCTTTTGTTGAGTGTTGGAATTGTGAGTCGCTTCATGGAAGAACCAGTTGTTGCACACTAGAAAGCTTTGAAGAGAATCCTTCAATATGTCCAAGGAACTGTGTCACTTGGAATGTTCTATTCGAAAGCAGAAGAATACAAGCTGACTGACTACTCTGATAGTGATTAGTATGGTGACATTGATGATTGAAAGAGCACTTCAGGATATATTCTTCATGGGAAACACTGCTTTCACCTGGTTGTAAAGGAAGCAACTCATTGTAACTCTTTCGACCTTTGAAGCAGAGTATGTAGCAGCATTCTGGTGTGTATGCCATGCAATATGGCTGAGAAGACTGCTGAGCAAGATGGAAACAAAGCAGGAAGCTGCAACAATGATTCAAGTTGACAACAGATCTGCAATCAAACAGGCGAAGAATCCAGTCAACCACGAATGAAGCAAGCACATTGATGTTCGATCTCATTTCATTCTAGAACATGTGAAGGATGGAAGCATCAAACTGAAGCACGTTTCAAGCAAAGATCAAGCATCGAACATTCTCACAAAACCACCATCGAAGGGGCTTTTCGACAGAGGCAAGAAAATGCTAAGCATGATGAATCGAAGGAATATTTGAATTTATGAGGGAATTTTGTTGGTTAAATTCAAATCAGTCTTGGGTAAATC